CATATAAATCCAAAGGAGCTGAACAACCCTGTAAGTTGAATGGCATAGATGTCAGCCAGTGAATACCTATATTCATAGATTCGTAAAATCATTAAGGTTGGAAAGGACCTCCAAGATCATCAAGTCCAAACGCCACCATATCAACTAAACCATACTGCTCTGAACTTGATTCAAAATACAAGTGAAAAGGCTTGAGTGGCCTCCATCCTGCCTCTGTCTGCTCCTGAGGGGGTTCAGCCATAATGCTCTCTGTTTGACTGCACCTGCCCTGCCCCACCAGTGACTGCACATGGAGAGGAGCTGTGTCTTGCAGGGGGTAAGTCACACTCACACTGTGCTCACATAGATACTGTGCGGACATAAGCGATGGGCCTTGCCTGTCTCAGTTGTGTACCTCAGGCCATTAGTTTCTCTGCTAAATTTCACCACCCCCTCTCAAAGCATTAAAAAAAATATTTCCTATGGGTACAAAAAGGCAAAACTCAGCATAAGCCAAAATTGTGTGGCTTTTCAGTGACCTCTGTGATTGGGAGCACTTTTTCACTACATTTATTTGATCCCGGTAGTTAGTGCCACCCCAGGTCAATCCTTAAGAGTTTTGCAATTTTGAGAGGTGTAATTTATCCAGATGTGGTTTCCATGGCTGAGAACTCCGCTGCCACTTACCTCAACCATGACTGAAACGTGAAAATCTTCAGCGACTGACAACTTAACAAATGGACACTTTAGCAATATTGCTCATCTGCTTGAATCTATATTTTAATTAGCTTGAGGATGATATAGAGGCTGCTTTTCCAGGTGTGAGCTACCACAAGACCCTGGGGGAAAAGAAAGAAACTGCTGAAGGGAAGGATGCACTTATGCTATTATGGCCACAGAAGACTGTCTTCACTCAGTCCTGCCTTGTTGAAAGTGCTGCTAATATTGTACATGAAACACCCCTTCTCAGGCTTCTTCAGGAGCTCTGATGCGGCAACCATTTTACATGATGAAGTGCTACAACACTGACAATCACACATCTTCAGTATTGCATTAAAAATGAAAAAAGGATGCTTGAAAACATCCTTGTTGAGTATTACTGAAGACATCTGATTTTGTTGTGAGAAAGGTTAGGTCAAGCTCTATATGTTTCTTATCCATGTAACAAGCATTATCACAGGGAAGCTAAGGGTAGAGAGAAATTACTGTCACAGAATTTTATTTTACTGAACTAAATCTTCAATACAAAGGGTCTGACTGCAGTTTCTCTTTAACAATAAAAGTCTGATTATGAACTGAATGTCACCAGTTCAGCAGAGTGCATCTCACTAAGTGTTAAGTTCACTTCCTTGCGAGGAACATATATCTGTTCATTAAAACATCAGGCTACTTACTCTAGATTTTGTACTGTATCAAAGGGGACACTGCACAGCTCAGGGATGCACATTTCCTCTCCCACATTTCTTTTATAAAACTCACTGTACTTGTAAAAATCACAGTTAAAAAATTTAGAAATTTATGTGAAGAAACAAGGTTAAATCAAAAGCTTACAAGAAAATCCTCTTGATGTGATTTGAATTCAAGGTTACATCCAGGTGGTCCAGACCATTCAACTCAATCCATGACTCAGAACATTTGAAAAGGAGCTGATCTGAATGGGACTGTGAACTTTACATGTCTGACTACCCATATGATTTATTATAACAGATAATCCATTTATTTCCAAGAACCTAATCCAAACCCCAGTACAGTCAAGAGAAACCTCACCACTGACTTCGAAACCAAAACTTATCCCATTACCAAAAAAAAGGGAAAAAAAAAAAGCCAAAAAAACCAAAACCAGTCAAATGAATGATGGATTGTTCTGTCTCCACAGAGCACAAAGTGGCTTCAGTTTTAATGCTCACACTTCAACTTTAACTCCCAAATCCATCTGTTTCGTGCATGTTGTGGAATGTCACATTTATTAAATCATTTTTCATAGGTGTGCCAGAAGAATAAAGTAAAAACAAAACCTGCAAGTGTAGGGTTGTGCATAACTCTGACACCACAATTGTGGTGCCGTGCTCAGGGCTCCATGCAGACTGGTGCAGGTACCAAGAGGAAAGCTCCCCCCATGGTTTCAACAAGGGTTGGATTAGGCCCTTCACTTTGAGTGTACCTTTGTCAAGAGGCTCCCAAAATCAGACAGCTGAGCTATTTTAGTGCTAATGTTTCCATCATCCAGAGATGTCTGACATGGTTGAACAATGCTTCCTTCTCTCAGAGCCCCTTGAGAGGGCTGGGAAACAACTAAATGTGTCAGAAGAAAAACTTGCAGAGGTGCTTGTACATCCCAAACTAAGATGAAGCAGATTTGTTGCTGAATACAGCCAGAGAGATTTGACCATAAAAGAGCTGTTACTATCTACCTAAATGATCTTGCTAATATCTCTTTCTCTCAGTGACTACATCCTTTTATATCTTATATAGCTGGTGTACCAAACGCATAAACCTTTTCTCCTGATAGCCCATTAGGTATGCTTTTGAGGTACAACCTCAGTAATGACTTCCTTCCAATATAATTGTATTTTAATTACACATTTAAGGCAAATTCTTTTCTCATCTATCCCAACTAAAACTCTTTGAAACCTTATTAATTTTAATTAAGTAGAAGTTGATGCAAAATTTCTAACTGCTGAATTTTACATTAAAAATTTTAAATTCATTTAAACATGGCTTTAATTTCCATAAGCACTTCAACTCGTAGTGTGCTCCCTCATTCAGTCTTTCAGAGCAATAACATCAAATATATGAAACATGATATTAGGACATAGCCCACCTTTAAATGCTTCCTTATTTACCACAGTTACCTGAGGGATGTTTGCTACAGGCTCTAACAGGACTTCTCTCTTATTAACACCAGTAGCAGTGCTACTCCATAAAGGACAGCAGAAATTATTTTGAGTTCTTTTATTCAAGTATTTCTATATTCTCAGTTCTAGAGCAGGGAGGGTGAGGCACAGGTTCTATGTAGGAAGCATTTAGAGGTGACATCAGGGAGCACACAGCAAGGGGGTGACTTGCAGCTGGAGATAAACTGTCCCTTTCTAAGAGGTGGGACAGAGCTTATGTTATCAGCCAGTGCAGTACACACACCACTGCAGCATCAGCCCTGCTGACTAATGCCCTGTTGTCCAGGCAAAGAAAGACAACCTGGAAATGAAGCAGGCAAACTGCCATAAGGGCCTTGTGTCACTGAGAGGTCAAAAAGCCAGTCTGAGGTGTCCATGTGAACATAGAATTGATACATGGAGTTGGTCATGAAAGACAGTGGGAAAACTTGGAAGTAAAACTTTTTACTGTCTCACTGAGAAAGGAGGACAAGAAGTGACACGAGAGAGTCACTTATTATTTTCAAAATGATACTTGGAACAATTGAACCATCGAGAAAGTTATTTGAAGACTTGACCTGGACAGAGTAAGACTGTAAAGGGACTCAGTAATTGTGCTCAAAACTGAGAATAAAAATAAAGGGGCAATAGAGCCTTATGTTTCAGACGTAAGATCTCTGACACTATGCTATCATCGGAGACATTATGGAGCCCCTAATTAAAAACGAGGGTTGCTTGCAGGATTCCAGCGTGCAAAGAAAATTATTAAGAGAAACAGATCCAGCCCTGGAGAGATTAGCATCACAAAGAAGTCACTGATGAGTGCTCAGACAACTGTAACACATGTCACTGGGACTCCAAAGCTCTCAGGTGAGGAGAGGGTACTGCCCAGCAATGTCTCTGGCAATACAGCGAGCAGGGCACGCTGTGTGGAGTACCACACAGATGTCTGTTTGCAAAACCTTGACAGCCAAGAAGGGAGGCTCCAGCAACCACTGTAACCTACTGGCCACAATGGGCGCTGCGGGATGTGCCTGTGCTAACTCCCAGCATTTTTTTAAGTAGCGACCCAGTAGCTCCAGCAAAGATCTGACATTGTTTATTCAACATACGCTGAACATGTGGTAGACAGCCTTGCCTGAGCGAAGTCACAGAGCATATCCTTTGGCCAGGCATGAGTGCCCACAGCAAATACTGTCAGACAGGGAAAGCAGTGAGCTGGCAGGGAGATAGACCTGACACATGGGAATAAAAAAAAAAAACAACTACAAAAAAGCCAAGCAAACTGGACAGATTGGTTTGCTTTTAATAACAGAAACGTGTACAGCCACCCCAGCTCATTGCCCCAACTCCACCGAGACCAACTGCCTTGGAGCAGCTTTCTAGGCTTTCGGAAGCCTTACATGTAAAGGGAGTGAGGTTGGAGGTTTTGATGTGGAGCAAAACAGTGGTGAAGTCAGATTTGAGACTGAATAATGAAAAAAGAAGTCTGCCTAAGAGAAATTCCTGGGAGAGAATTTAAAAAAAGCAGGAGACAGAGCTGGATCTGAGTAAGTCAGAAGACGTTATAGTCATGTTGGACATGATATGCTGCATAAAATAGTGTGCAACAACAGGTCAGAAGCTTGGTGTGAGTTTCAGGGGTATATCTGTAATTGCCAGTTATGCACAAAGTCCCATGACACAAAGAGGAAAGTGAGATCATACACATCTGTCTGACCCTTCTATAGCCTCTCCGCTTTCAGTTCAAATGTCAAAATCACATCTATTGTCATTTCTAGAGAACTGTAGACAGATACAGGGGACAGGAAGTCTGGAAACCATTGAAAAGTCTGGAAAAATCCTGGAGATGTTTAAGTGGTGTCATTTATTGTTATAACCCATGACATTGGCCAGATGTTACAAACCTTGTAGTGTGAAAGAGCCTTAGCACCTGATGCCACCCTCAAGCCCAAGGGGACAAGGTTGTGAAGACATTTAGCTTGTAAGGTCTTGAACAGACAGGAGACTCTGCTAATTGAGACCTCCTATCTGAGAGGTCAGACAGCCACCCGTCACACCAGATCACCACAGCCTCAAAAAATCATCACTCTTCCTCAGGAGGGGCAACCACTGGGCACACTAGGAGAGAACAGCACCTACACTGCAGATGTAGTAGGCAAGGCAAAGCCAAAACTGAAAGATCTTCCAGCATGAAACAGCAGAGCTGCAGATGAGTTAGGAGAGAACTGGAGGTCAAACCAGCGCAGGATGTCCCAGGGCCCCTCCACATTTAGCAGACTGTGAACAATTAAATAGGGATATTTTATTATTGCTTGTTTCATATTAATGTTGGGTAATGAAGGTGTAAAGAAAGGTAGGACGCTCTGGCACAAGGCAGCTGGACCTCTCTCTTTGGGACTGAGGAGTCCCTGTTATACATGTTACCTCCTGAAACTGCTTAAAGCTGTTTCCTGGCAGGCTCCTGGGCTCTGCCTGATGGCTGAGAAGCAAGCCTACAGCATCATCTGCAGCTGTAATACCTCTGGAAATAGCTTTTTTTCAATAAGGAACTTGTTTCACTTTTACAAGAAACGAAGGGCTTTTTGACTGTTGCTCAGCATGTGTTACCTGACATGCCAGGCATTCCCAGCAGCCACGAGGAGAGTCAGGCAGGGAGGAACTGCTCTGTGTACTGAGATGAACTTTCTCATTTTGCCAAGTCTTGGCAGACAGGTAAATTTTTTAAAGGTGATATTTGCTTCTAAATGCAACACGTAACTCGTTTTGCTGCAGTCTATCCATCTAGTGTGCTGTGCTTGCGAGTACAAACTTACCAGAACCAGTTAACGTGACTCAGAATTAACAAGGAAATATGTGTTTTTCTATCAGAGAAAGAGTGGTTCACATTAAAATATTTCAAAGTATTCTGCAGTTCTCTCAAAGTTTGAAGATCCCTGTTCCTTGCCTGCTTAAATATAAAGAAGTGGAGCTTAATGATACATTTCTACATAATTGAAAATGCTCAAACACAGGTAGAAAGACAAAGAGAGAGAAAGCTAACTGGAAGTAGTTTCCCAATATGTGCAAGTCACTTGATCTTGGCCAACGGAACCTGCAGTTTCAACTCATTTAGGCAATCTGGAAAATTCGTTCTGGATATGAAACATGCTTATTGGGCAGCTGCAGGGCCTGTCAATTCTGTGCTGCAGCCAGCCCTCAGGAAAGAGAGGTCTCTCAGTGCCTGCAGCCAGTGTCCTTGACAGCTTCCAGTCCTCGTCTCCTTCCAAACAGTAAATAAAAGCATAATGAAACAAGAGCAGCTAATGCAAACGCCCAAAAGCTGATTTTGGAACGAGGAGCATGAGATCAGAGAAGTGCGAGAGGCATCTCCTCTCTCCTCCAAGTACTTTACAGCCTTTAGCAGCCCAGACACATCCTGAGCCAGACTGGTTTTCTGTGTATTCAGTAGCTCTCAGGGGAGTTTCTCTTCCATGAATTCATTCAACCTTCTCTCAAGGCTGCACTGGTGATCAGTGTTTTCTACGCAGCCAGTCACACCAAGGAAAAAGAGAATCAATATTCACTTTGGTCATGGCCTTTCCAATACTCGGCCATTCCCTGATGTGTCTTTGTGTTAACAACCCCATGTGAGGGATAGGAATGAGATCAGCAGCTGCCAGTAGGGCCCTGTGCCATAGATATTTCCAGATAATATTTTTTCTCTCTCTCTTAAGGGATGGAGTGCAGCTGACATTCCTGTCCTGTTATTACACAGATGCATATAATGCATATAATGCATCTGGCAAATACACATTAAAGTAAATATAAGGAAAAAAAAATCTCACAAGTGAAACCAAAAAGCCAAATCAACATGAAAAGTGCATTGCTGAGATTTTGTGCCATGTATATATCTGTATGCTAGTGTTTAGTAATATGCAGAAATTACAGATATGACTTGAGCCTTCTAAGGCTTTATGCTAGTTTCTCCCTCTGCAAAATAAAATTCTCAGTGGAGGAAGCATGACATTTTTCCTTTCATATTTTAATTTGACAGAATTAGCTAAATACCTTTCTTAAAAGAGTGAACCTGAATTGAATTCAGTTGAGTTGCTGAGTGAAAGAATTAATTATTTTCCTAATTTCCTTTAGGAAAGAAAGGTCTCTGCATTACTGGTACATGCCATCAAACTAAAACAGTGTGAAGAAGTATGAGTTACTCAGCAATGAAATGTTATGGAGTAAATGGGAGGCAACTGTTAAAAATCCTCATCTGAGCAGCCAAGGAGAAAATTCCTTCATGATACATGTAGGTGACATAATCCTGGGAACACCCTTCCCACAAGTGTGGGCCTTCTTTGCAGTTTCCCCAAGGAGATATCTGCACATCATTTGCCAACATGGCTGTAGATTTATGTCTTTGTTTTCTTAGAAATATGAAATTTTGTATATTCATTGATTTTCAGTCTAGAATTAAACAATTAAAATCAAATGGTACATCAGTCCTTATAAACTTGCCACAGACTTTTAAGTTCTTCCCTCAAGTTCGTATTTTCTGGCTGAACTGAAGCATGTCTTCTGCAATTAGAAAAAATAAAAATCAAGCATTGGTTTAAAGACATCAGGTATTAGAAAACTGTCAGACAGAATCTGATTCTTGGTCTGAGTTATCTTGTGGTTTTCATCATGAGGTTCATCAGTCCCTGGGCATCTGTGAACTACTCCTTATGCGATCATGAAATGTAATTGAGGAAATGAAGTTCTTTGTCTCTACATAGTAATTGACCTGTGCAAAATGTCCTTGAAAACTTATATTTCCATTGAAAGAAGTTGAAGAATCTATAAATTTAAAAAATTACTTACCTAGTGTCTAGAAGTACCAGCACTAGACCCTTCAGAGAACGATGCAAGCAGTCCCATACTCTGCAATTATAAAGTAATGTGTCAGAAGGGGATATTATTCCTATCCCAACCTTTCATGAAGCTTGTTTATGCCCTGAAGCACAAGTTTATTTCACTTACTTTTTGAGACAATTTCTATTCCATGCTGTAACTCAGAGTGGCTTTTTGGAAATCACCAGATTAGTGGTCAGTTTTCTAAATACCAGCACAGCATCTGACATCCCTTTCTTCAGCATTATCCTTCAATAAATTACATAAATATATCCTATCATAGATACAGCAGTTACTATATATCAAAAGAAGTAAAAATTTGCCCAATTCTCATACTGATATCCCAGTCTTACCTGGAGAGGCAAAGATGGGATGTGTCATGCTGGAAGCTGCCTCCACAGGCACTAGGGAGAAGAGGCTGAGTTGTGAGACAGTTTGACTTCCACCTTGGTGAGACTGTTATCAGACACCTGTGTGGAGACCTCAGCAATTTTTCTACTCCTTCTCTGTCTGAAGTCTGATCACTTTTGGTCTTGATCCTTGTACTGGCATCTTTTTCACTGCTGTGCGCTGGTCACCTCAACCTTCTCATGTCCTCAGTCTTGACATTAATAGGCATGCTGATGAGGAAGGCACAGGCCCAGACCTAGCCTTTGGGGAGAGAAAAAAAAATTAGAAATTAAATAGATTTTGAAGTAGGAAGCACTTTTCCTATGTTGAAGAGTCACAACAGTCCCAAAATGAGAAGGCATGTTTTAGTGATTAGTTGCAGTTAATCCTAAGAATGCTTTAGGCTTTGTAATAAGTCAAACACAATATCCTCTCCTCCTTGGAGAAGTGAGATGTGGGGTTTCAGAGTGGAAGAACAAAAGCTTTACAAATGAGGTATTTGTAATAATTCCTCCACAGCAGCTATCTACACTACATAATACTTCCCCCTAAAACAGAAATCTGCCTTAAATAAAAGGAAGAAAATGACATTAGAAGAGACAAGTCATATCTAAAACCTGCATGTAAATCAGAAGTTCATTAGGAGAGTATGCAGAGAAGCTTTTGGAAGGTAATTTTGCTACTAACTAGTTTTTCCAAGAATGAAGTAAGGCTTTCAAAAGCATCATTGCTCTAAGTATTTCAAATTATCTACTCTACCTGCTACTATCTCTTCTCATAGAGATTACAAAGCACTTAAATTTTTACCCACTTTGTTACAGAAATCCCCAAGGAAGGTTTCAATCTGTTTGCAAGCACTGCTCTGAGAAGATAGCAGAAGTTTTCAAAACTTCCTCCAGCACATCTAGAGTTAAATGCTTTTTACAGTATTGCCTCTGTATCATAAAGTTCTTTGTTCAGAAACTTACCACTGAGTCATGCAAAAAAACCCCACTCTGGACCAAAACTCAGTCTACAAAGGTTCAGCCAAGAAGCAATATTTCCTGGCACTTTGTCCCTTTCTTTTTTCTAGTGCTGAAATAGAAAAGGATTCTAAGTGCTCTACTGTTTCCAAGCATGAATGTGCTCCTATTACTCATAAAATTACTTTAATTTTAAAATGAAATGGTGGGAGCTTATAGCTGAGATTGTTGATGATGTTTCAAGCATCAGGCAAGCTCCGCTGCGCTGGCGGTCACAGATGGCCCAGCCATCCCCTATGACATCTCCCATTTTGTAGCAGTCCAAACACTCACTTTTATTTAGGCAAGTCCACCTTTGGCACCCATAGGGGCATGTTACAGCAAGGGTCATTAAGGAAAGTATTGCTCAGTTTCTGTCTCTCCCCATAGCAAGCGAGACCCACGTTTTGCAGTGTGGAAACATGTACTTTGTAGGGACACAAAAGGGCTGGGACATCTTATCCCTCTCACAGCCCAGAGCAGCACTTAGCAGTGTGACTGTGTTTTATTCTGGCTTGCCACGGAGCCACACCAGACTCGTCTGCTTGCAGCATTTTCCAGCAAGGTTGCTTCTCAGGGGAGCGGAAAGGGTTATGGATCGAGGCAGGTGAAAGCTGGCTCAGCTTCAATCGAAACCATTTCTTGCTACAGTTTTGTACTGACATACAAGGGGTTTTGCTGCATTCTGCTTTGTGTGCTGAAGTTAGAAGAACTCCAAATAAGAAAAAAATTTTAAAAATTTTTTAAAAATTTAAAAAAAAAAAAGAAGACGCACAGAAGAAAACTTGTGTGGAAAAAAAGGCCAAAGAACGAATCTTCCTATAAGCTCCTTTATGAGCACTGCTGCCTGCTGTGCTATGAACACAAAGGTTAAAATCCACAGGTAAAAATCCAGGCATCCTATGGACTGGAAGAGCTTTCCCTTTGGCTTTGGTGTACCTAAGCTTCCAGGCAAGGTCACTACTTTTCTGTCTTACAGGCTTGCAAAGTTCCTGCGGGTCACAGCAGCTGCGTGAGGAATCCACGTGCCATTCTGAGCAGAGCTGGAGGAAAGGGACAGCAGAAAAGTTGACAGAAAATGATCTGGTGGAAGGTGTCCCTGTCCATGGGAGGGAGGTGGGAAGCAGAGGATCTTTAAAGTCCCTTCCAACCCCAGACATTCTATCATTCTATGAAAATACACCATTGTGGTAAAGCAGGCAAATGTCTGTATTACTGTGTTTGGCTGCTTCCTCTCCCAATTGCATCTTCTGCCTGCATGAATACATGGCTGAATCAAGACTATCTGTGAAACCGATCAACAGCAGACCAGTAGAAAAGGTGACACAATTAGGGCATCCTGGTGGCCTACGTTCAATGCAGCTGGCAGTCATCTGGCAGAGAAAGTTACTCACCAGCTTCTCTGGGGCTGGTACATGGAGGAGTTTCTCAACCCAAAGCACAGCCTCAGGAAAGACCAGGAGCTTCTGAAAATGGCTGTGTTGTATTAATAACTGAGGGAATCACAGAGCTAGAGGGACAAATACCCAAATCCCTTAAGATATGGCATCTATTTGACCTCCCACAGAAATAGCGTTGCATTCAGAGAGAAAGCAAAACATTTTTTGTGTTCTTCCAGCATTGCCTCTTGCATTTACTCCAGCACGCTATATTTGGTATGGTTGTTTCTGTAGGAGAGCTACTCTCTAACAACTGTCATCGCGTAGAAGCAGCAAATCTCCTGGGGGTTTAAGGCAGCTTTTATTTAGACCCACACTTTGTTATGATACCAAGTTTAGCCTCAGCCATGCTGCAAACTGAAATCCCAGCGTCTGTGGCTGCCCACAAGGTAAAGGTCCACATTTCTTTAGTTTCACTGTATTTCACAGCATCACTGCCCATGCAAAACTGCTCCTGTTAATCCAGATCGTTGACTGCAGATCAGATGTCTGGAGATGGAGAGAGAGGGTGGTGGCAAAGACAGCATGCAGTGTACACTGATGAGGACAAGTAACAACTGCGTAGTTGTCAGCACAGAGAAACGGATGCTCGTCTTGCAGGCATGATATTTGGGACGGAAGGATGGAAGATTGATTTAACTTCTTTGATGTGCCATATCTTTCTGGTAAAGGTTTAAATGCTATTTCTGGCTGCCACATTGATTTTCATTACCATAGATCCCCTTTTTGAGGTGAAGACTTTCTTTCAAAGGAGTTTCCTAAATGTTTTTAGCTTGGGGTAATGTTATATTTTAAATTACAGCACAAACACATGCACACACATATGCACCAACTCATACTATCTGTAGGAGATCTGTGTATGATACTGTGTAATTTTAGTTTTCCATCACAGCACCATTTAAATTATGGATTTGCTAAAAAAAGAAAAAAAGAAAACAAAGCATAACTCATCCAACATGCAAATACAACACCCTGTCTTGTTTGCTCCTGTTCCATTCATCTGGAGATTTAGAGGTATTAAGTGACACAAGACCTTTGAATCTGCCCCCTCAGAAACTCTGACAGCTCAGAACATGGTGCATTCTCCATTATTATTCCAAAATATCAGCTTGCACACTCCAGAACTATTTAAGAAATACTGATTTAATTGTACTCCCCCACATTTTTGCAACTGCCATCTTTTACTGTGAGTGTTAATATGCCGAGTGGGACAATGGTGCTGCTTTGCTGCTGCAAAGAAAAATCTTTCTCCTTGTGAATTCCAGGAATGGCTTCTTTCTGCTGTTTTAGCTGTTTCATGTAACAAATAATCTTTGCAATAGGAGAATTTGGTTCATCATGCAGATTCGTGTTCTTTATAACTGTAAAATAATAGCAGACAGTTTTCCCCGTGTGTCAGTGCTTTTATTCCAGTCAAGGTTGATAAAATATTTCTTGAAGAGAAACGTACAACTCAGTCTGCGTAAGAAACTGTGCTGCTGCTGATCAGCACAAGTGTGGGGGTGATATTCCAGTGTAGTGCAGTCCCATCCCTGTACAAAGCTGCCTTCATGCAAATCTAAGCTGGCACGGCCTAGGTAGGGGCTTTCCTGAGGCACAGGCCATCATGCAGGCATGTAGAACCCTCCTCTGCCTCCATTGCAGGGACAGACAGAGGTGATGGCTTGTCCAGAGCAATAAACATATCCCATCAGTAAACCTCCCAGTGGTGGTTGGGTCAGATCTGCAAGTCCGTGTCAGTGCTGTATGTCAGAGCAAGCCTGCAGGATGAGTCTGCTGTAATGGTGGTGGGGTGGTTTCGAAAATGGCCATTAAACCTCTCTTTCATGACAATAAATGATCCTATGTGCATACACCCATGTGCACATACTCACATACATACACATTTTTTAGGCCTTGCCAGTACTTGGGGTTTGGCTGGTGATGCTTGATAGGAGACCAGTGAAAGTTCTTATGGCTGAGATGAAAACCATGCATGATGTTACCCCTGGAAGAACAGTTTGGAGAAGCCTGAGTGTTTCCAGAATAGCACAGTTTCTCTAACACAGATACAAGCAAAGCATCAAGCTCCAAAGAGCTTCTTTTTTTAGGCTCAAATCTAAGGAGTTGGAGGGGGATAAGCAGTGGAAGGTTGACAATGACAAGAAGGCATTCGTTTGAAGGAAAATAATAAATCTACTAAACTCCTAAAGACTTACAGCATAAAGTCTTGGCAATCCCATCACTTTTCCCACATACAATAATGTCAGGATTCTGGTGTCTTTAGGAATAAAGAAATAGAAAAATGCTTAAGATTACAACACGGCATTTTGCAACATTTAATTATTATAAATACAACCCTATCTGGAAATACATGAAATATATTAAATAAATGCCTTTTTTTTTAATTTTCTAGGCTGAAAAGCAGCAGTTGTTCCTGCCCAATCATATACAACAGCCACAGGGTAGCACATGGAGGTCCTGACAGTGTAAAAATGCCACTGTAATTTTGTGGTAATTGCACTGCAATTTTAAGAAATGTCCTGAACTCTTAGTATCCCATATAATACATATTGTTTTGTATATTCACAGACATCTAATGCCCCTGGGCTGGTTTTTGTCAAGGATTATCTTGGTAGTTGTTTTTCCCTGCTCCCTGAAGGTTTCACAGACCTTCGTAGGCAGTCTGGTGAGTTCAGTTCAGTATGTCCCAGTTCCTCTATGGGAAGAAAGGAAAGATATTGTTGTAAGACTCTGAAATTTAGTTTTCCTAGGCATCAGGTGCTTCCCTACCCTCTAGACAGCTCAGTTTCCTAGCCTACAGCTCTGAGTTTCCCTGCTT